ACCAAACAAACAAACAAAAAAAACCAAAGGTGTGATGCTATGGAATAAGCACTGAACTGTTAATCGCAAGGTAGGCTGTTCAAGCCCAGCAACCCCTTCTCAGAAGCCGTATACAGCGTCACTATGAGGTAGAACCCATTCCATAGCAGATAATAATGATAGCACTTATTCCTTTATTGTATAATTTAAAATAAAGAAAAAGAGAGAATGGGTGGAAGGAAGGAAAGAAAGGAGAAATGAAGACAGGAAAACGGGAAGAAAGGAAAGATGGAAAATATGAATGGAGACATGAAGGAAGGAAGGGGGAAAAAAAATCAAAGTCTCAAATTTGGTGTACCAGACCCCTTGTTTCCTCATCCTCTATTGTCTGAAAAATTACTAAATCTCCAAACCAAATGACCTGTCACTAGTTTGCCACCACTCCAGTATGCCCTCCAGAAGACAGAGTTGATTATGTGACTCCTCTACACAGACACTAAATGGACCTGTGTAGTTTAAAATAAATCCCAAACTCCTTGTTGCTGTTGTTGTTAAGTGTCATTGAGTTGGTTCTGACCCATAGCAACCCTGTATGGGGTTTCCAAGGAGTGACTGCTGAGCTTGAACCACCGACCTTGTAGTTCAAAGAGATTTTGCAGTCCATTACATTAACCCACAGCGCCATATCTGGACTCCTTAGTAAACCCCAATTTTCTTTTCAGCTTCAATTTTTATCTCTTCCATGTGTATTGAATGCTTTATTTTTGGTCAAACATAGCATTCCTTGCCATAGCTCTTGGTTTTGTACATGCTCTTTTTTCTTTTTTGAGTTTTCTCCAACTTTATGTTGAAAAGCCCTACTCATTTTAAAGAACCAGCTGGATTGATACCAGTTGTAAAGCTTACCTTTATGCCATTCCTCCAAGGTTGATTACTTCTCTTTGGAACACTGGTGGCAGAGTGGGTTAAGCATGGGCTGCTAACAGCAAAGTTAGCAATTCAAAGCTAATGACAGTTCTGTAAGAGAAAGGTGAAACTGCCTCTAAATATTTACAGTTTTAGAAATGCTAAGAAGCAGTTCTACTCTGTTATTTAAGGTAAGTATGAAATCAATGTGATTGCAGTGGCTTTTGCTTTGCTTTTTCTTATATATATAATACCATGTACACATTATATTGTGTCCCAACAAAAGATATGTTGAAGTTTTAACTCTCATACCTGTGAATATGAACCTGTTTGGAAATAAGGTCTTTGAAGATGTCATCAATTAGTTTAACATGAGGTCATGCTGGAGTAAAATGTGTCTAAGTCCTACCTAACTGGTGTTATAAAATAGAAGATACACAGAGGCAGATATAATGGCCATGTGGAGATGTACTTAAGCAAATCATTTGGGGAGTGATCAAATAGGAGACAGAGACAGAAGAGTTTCCCTCTCACAGAATTCAAAAGGATTTACCATGGCTAATAGACCAATTAGAACTTCCAGCTTCCAGAACTGTGAGATATAAATGTCTGTTCTTTAAAGCTACCTACACTGTGATATTTTGTTATGGCAGGTCTGGGAAGCTAAGGCAATCACTTTTTGCCATTATATTGCAAAACAGTCCTAGCCAAAGTAATTCAAATGGAATCTTTTAGACTTAAGAGGCAAAACAGGGAGCAGTGCAGAAACCTGCAGGCAATTTACAGAGACAAAAGTGTGGGTATTCTTAATTTTTTAAATGTTTCCTTCTTTTCTGTTTCTCTTTCTACTCATTTTCTCTCTGGTGATCAGAGATGAGACCTGTATGAGCAGACATCCCCAGCAAAGGTCCTATGCCACACAGTTTCCCCAGCTAAGCACAGAATCAAAGAGGGAGAAGGAAACAGAAAGAGCCTGTGCCAGCAGTCTCCCCCAAACCGGGTCTGGCCAGACATTGAATGGGTCTAACTAGGAGATCTGGTAGCGTAGTGGTTACGAATTGGGCTGCGAACCACAAGGTCAGCAGTTCGAAACTACCAGCCACTCCGTGGGAGAAAGATGAGGCTTTCTACTCCCATAAAGATTTGCACCCTCAGAAACTCTGTACAAGGTCACTATGGGTCAGAACCCACTCGACGGCACTTAACAACAACAACAAACTAGGAGAAAACAGCTGAACAGACTTGAGACACAATAGGAACATTGTTAGATTCCACAGGTCGCTTTGAAGGCCACAGTCCATTGTTGTTGTGGTTGTTAAGAGTCATTACGTCGACATCAACTCAAACGCAACATTGCCTGGTGCTGAGCCAACTTCAAAATCTTTGCTAAGCCCAAATCCATTGTTGCTGCCACTGTGACAATCCACCTCATCGGGGGTCTTCCTTACCTTCTCCATTCCTCCACTTTACCAAACATGATATTCTTCTCTATGGTCTGGCTCCTCCTGATAATATGTATGAAGTATTAGAGAAAGTCTGGCCATCCTGACATCCAAGGATTATTCTAGTTGTACTTCTTCCAACATAGACTGGTATGTTCTTTTGGCAGTCCATGGTACTTTTAATATTCTACTCCAACAGAATAACTCAAATGTTTCAGTTCTTCTATGGTCTTCTTTATTCACTGTCCAATTTTCATATGCATATGAAGTTATTTTAAATACCATGGCTTGGGTCAGGTGCACCTTAGTCATCAAACTGACCTCTTTCATTTTCAACACTTTAAAGAGGATTATTGCAGCAGATTTCCCTAATGCAATATGTCATTTGATTTCTTGAGTGCTGCTTACGTAAGTGTTCATAGTTGATCCAAGAAAAATGAAGTCTTTGACAACTTCAGTCTTTTCTTCATTTATATGGAGGTTATTTATTGATCCAGTGGCAAGGATTCTTATTTTCTTTACAATGAGATGCAACCCATACCAAAGGCTGTGGTCTTTTATCTTCATCCGTATGTATTTTCAGTACTGTTTGCTTTTCCAAGCAAGGTTTTATCCTCTGCATATTGCAGGCTGTTAATAAATCTTCCTTCAACCCTGATGCAACATTTTTCTTCATGTAATCAAGCTTTTCATATTATTTGGTCAGTATATATATGGGATAAGTATGGTGAAAGAACACAATCCTGGCACACACCTTTCTTAATTTTAATAAATTCTGTGTACCCTTGTTCTGTTCCAACACCTGCCTCTTGGTCTATGTATAGGACCCTCATAAGGTCAATTAAATGTCCTAGAATACTCATTCTCCACAATGTAGTCCATAGCTTGTCATGATCCACACAATTGAAAACAGTTACATAGTCAATAAAGCACAGGTAAACATCTTTCTAGTATTCTTTGCTTACAGTCACAATCCATCTGATGTAATCAATGATATCCCTCATTCCAAGTCCTTTTCTGAATCCAGCTTGAACCTTTGGAAGGTGCTTGAACCTCTGGAAGTTTTTTTTGGCAATGCATGGTTGCAGCCATTTTTTTGTATTAGCTTTAGCAATATTTTACTTGACATGTGAAGTCAATGATATTGTCCACAAATTACTGCATTCCACTGGGCCGTCTCTCTTTGGAATGGGCACAAATATGGATGCCTTTGCTGTCTAATGCATCATATCTATTTTTCAGACGATCTCTAAATTCAAGTGGATATGTTCAAGGTCATATTTTGGCTCTTGTGGACTTGTTTTAATTTTCTTTGGCTTCAGACTGAATTTGGATTATGAACAATTGATGGTCTGTTCCACATTCTGCCCCTGACATTTTTTTGACTGATGATATGGAGCTTTCCCACAGTCTATTCCCACAGATGTAGCCAATTTGATTTCTGTGTGTTGTATCTGGTGAGGTACATGAGTATAGTCATCTTTTATGTTGTTTAAAAAAGGCATTTGCAAAGAAGAAGTCAGTGGTCTTGAAAAATTCTATCATGTAATCTTCAGCATAATTTTTATCACCAAGGCCATGTTTTCCAACAACTGATCCTTCTTCTTTGTTTCTAACTTTTGCATTCCAATCACCTGTACAGTACATTTTGATTGCATGTTTGATCAATTTCAGATTGAATATATTGGTAGAATTTTCCAATTTCATTATCACTGGCTTTAGTGCTTGATGTGTAAATTTGAATAATAGTGGTATTGACTTGTTTTCTTGTAGACATATGGATATTATCCTATCAACGACAGCATTGTATTTCAAGTCAGATCTTGATATGTTCTTTTTGATGATGAATGCTTCTCCATTCCTCTTCAATTTGTCATTCTTGGTCTAGTAAAGCATGTGATTTTCAGATTCAAAATGGCCAATACCATTTTGAATTCCATTGCAACTCACTAATGCCTAGGATATTGATGTTTATGCATTCCATTTCATTTTGATATTTTCATTATTCCTATATCCATACATCATACATTTCATGTGCCAATTATTAATGGATGTCTACAACTGTTTCTTTGCATTTTGAGTTGTGCTCCACTAGCAAATCGAGGTCCCAATGGCTCTACTCCAATCATGTCATCATTGTCAATTCTACTTTGAGGAGGCAGCTCTTCCCCAGTCATATTTTGAGTGCCTTCCAACATAGGGGCTCATCTTCTGGCACTGTATCTGACAATATTCTAGTACTCCTTATGTTGCAAGATTCAAATATTCTGGTGTTGACAGTATTCTACTGTAGTGACTAAATATTTGGAAGTAGTCCATCTCACCTTCTTCCCATTCTGTCTTTTTCTGGAAGATTAGCTGAAACTTATCCACCATGGGTGACCCTGCTGTTATTTAAAGTATACATGGCATAGCTTCCAGAATCACAGTAACACACAAGACACCATAGTATGACAAACTGACAGATGAGTGGTGCTAAAGATTAATTTCCTATGGCTGATTTGTGGCTGTGTTTTATTATTTTAGATTGTTATCATTAGCGCCCCCCCCACACCTAGTTTACTTGTCATCATGTTGTTTTGTCTATGTTTTTATGACTATGTTTTTAGTTTTGTTTTTTGGATCCTCCTTCTATCTTGTGAGAGCACTTTCTCTTCTTATCTCACCCAACAGGTGGCAGCAACTGTGGCCATACAGTCAAGCTAAAATTGCAACCTCTAAATCCTCACCAATTGGGCAAGAGCTAATGCCAGGTATTATACACCAGAACATCTACAACCAATACCAGCTAAAAACACTCTGGATTGAGTTATCTGAACTGTGGATGTAGAAGTCCATCCCCTGATCAAACCTACCAGGAGGCAATTGGATAATGATTAAGAATACACCAACATACACTCATCTATTGAATGCAAATACAACAACATTTCTCAGCAGAAATCATGCAGGCAAGAAGACAATGGAGATATATATATAAAACTCTGAAAGAAAACAAACAAACAAACAAAAAAAACCCCCTGCTAACCAAGAATCATATACTAAGCAAAGGTGTCCTTCAGATATGACAGTGAAATCAAAACATTCTATGATAAATGGAAATTAATGAATTTTGCGAAATTCAAGCCAGCATTTCAAAACATACTAAAGAGAGTTCTTTGGACTGAGATCAACAAGAGCACACACCAACTAGAGACTGATATCTGTGACAACAACACCTGGAACTCTGTCCAGATATGGAAGAGTCCAGAGCAAAAACAAAACTACAAGATTGGAAATAGGGGACCTGGAATGTCAGTCTAGGATCAAGACAAAAGGAAAGAAGAGAAAAATATAGTAACAGAGATCCAGGTGGTAAGAAGTTCAGGTAGAGTTCAGGATAAAATAGACTATTTTAAAATGAGGAAGACATTAATAAAGTTCAGGAAAACCTCAAAGAAACTTAATACATTGCCATACCAGATCACAAAGAGGGAAGCCAAGACTGTGGAGAGATTAAAACTATGATGAAATTGACAAGAAAAAGTACAAAAAAAAAAAAAAAAGAACTCAGCACAAGAAAACATGCAAGATAAAGAAATGAGCAGCACCACACACACACAAAATAAAATAACCACATAATGAAAGTAATTAATCCATCCCTATTGATAATCACATGAATGACATGGATTAAATGCTTCAGTCACTAGACAGAGAACAGCAAAATGCATAAGAAAACAGGACCCTTCCATATGCTGTCTGCAAGAGACACACCTTACACACAAAGACAAAATCAGATTAAAAATTAAAGGATAGAAAAAACAACAACACACCAAGCTAATGTCAATAAAAAATGAGCAAGAGTGGCAATATTAATTTCTGATAAAATACACCTTAAGGCAAAAATCAGTATAAGAGGCAAAGAAGGACATTATTTTATGATTAAAGGGTCAATTGAACAAGAGGACAAAACCATAATAAATATTTATGCTTTCAATGAAATACCCTCAAAATAAATAAATCAAACCCTAATAGAATTGAAGAAATAAATAGACAGCTCTACAAAAATCATATGAGATTTTAATATAACACTTTTGAAAAAGGACAGAACAACCAGAAAGAAACTCAACAAAGACATAGAGGAACTAAACAACACAATCAAATAACTTGAGCTCATAGACTTGTACAGAACATTCAACCAAACAACAAAACAATACATATGATTGTTCAAAGCACAACAAGTCTCAACAAATTTTAAAACATCAAAATACTACAAAACATCTTCTAAGATCAAAATGCCTTAAAATTAGAATTTTTATGATCAAATTTTAAGATCAAGGAAATAAAATTGAGTACTTGGAAACTGACTGACACCCTGCTTAAAAGCAACTGGGTAGCAGAACAAATAAAAAGTGAAACTTAGACATTCCTAGAAACAAATAAGAATGAAAACACAACATATCAAAACCCTTAGGAGCTAAAGCAGTGCTGAGAAGACAATTCATAGCAATAAATGGACACATCCAAGAAGAAGAAAGAATCAAAATCAATATATTAGCACTTCTCCAGCAAATAGAAAAAGACCAGCAAAGTAAACATATAGGCACCAGAAGAAAAAATAAAATAAAATAAAGATTAGAGCAGAAATAAATGAACTAGAAAACAGAAAACAAATAAAAAGAATCAAGATAAGAAGCTGAATTTTTGAAAGGATTAACAAAATTGACAAAACATTGGCATGTCTAACAAAAGAAACAAGAAAGAAGACACAAATAACATGCATAAGAATCCACATGGGTGATGTCACTTCAGAACCAATGGAAATAAAAAGGATAATAGCAGAATACTATCAACAGTTATACTACAACAAATTTGAAAATCTAGAGGAAATGGATACATTTTTGGAAAAATACAACCTACCTAAACTTAAACAGAGTGAAGAAGAAAACTTGAACAGATCTGTAACAAAAGAAGAAATTAGTTAGGTTATCAAAACACTCCCAACAAAAAAAGTCCAGGTTCAAATGTCTTTAGGTCAATTTTATCAAACATTCAGAGATGAGCAAACAGCAATTTTACTCAAATTATTCCAGAATACAGAAAAGAATGGAAAAAATCCTAATACATTTTATGAAGCAAGCATAACACTCATACCAAAACCAGGGAAGGACATTATTAAAATAGGAACTTATAAACCTTCATGAACATAGATGCAGAAATACACAACAAAATCCAAGCCAATAGAATTCAACAACATATGAAAAAATAATACATCATGACCAAACGGGATTTATATCAGGGATGCAAGTGTGGGTCAATATTAGAAAAACAATCAACATAATCCATCATATAAATAAAAAATGAAAAGAACCATATGATCATATTGATCAGTATAGAAAATGCATTTGAAAAATATCCAACACCCATTCTTATTAAAAATACTCAACAAAGTGGGAATTGAAGGGAAATTCCTCAACAAAATTAATAGCCTTGGTTTTTTTTATACATACAAAACCAACAGCCAACATTACTCTCAACAGAGCGAACAGGAACCAGACATGGATGCCAGTTATCTCCACTTCTATTCAATATTGTGGAGTACTGGTGTGGCATTGTAGAATAAAGCACTGGACCACAAAGTCAGTTTGAATTCACCAGCTGTTCCTTAGAAATCCTATACTGGGTTGCTATGAGTCAGAATCAACTCTATGACACTTAACAACAATAAATTCAATACTGTGTTGGAAATCCTAACCAGAGCTATAAGGCAAGAAAGGGGAATTAAATGCATTCAAATGGACAGAGATGAAGTAAAATTCTCTCTATTTGCAGATTATCTGATCATATACATAGCAAATACCAAAGACTCAGGAAAAAAAAAAAATTATATATATATATATTACAACTCATTGGAAGATTCAGCAAAGTGGCAGGATACAAGATCAACATTATTGAATCTGTCAGATTCCTCTATAATAATAAAGATAGTTTTGAAAAGGATTTTAGGAAAATAATAGCATTTATTTAGGAATAAATCTAACCAGAGAAACAAAAGACCTATATAAAGAAAACTACAAAACACTACTACAAAAAACACACAAAAGAGATATACAGAAATAGAATATACCATGCTCGTGAATGAAAGAGTTAACATTGTGAAAATGTCAATACTGCACTAAGTTTTCTACAGATACAATGCAAACCCAATCCAGATTCTAGCAACATTCTTTAGAGATAGAAAAAAATGATCAAGAACTTTATATGGAAAGGAAACAGATGTCAGATAAGCAAAGTACTGCTTAGGAAGAACAAAGTGGGAGACCTCGCCATTACTGATTTTAAAACTCACTACATTGTCACAATTCCTGGTGTGGCACTGTGGGATAATGCGCCAGACTGCAGAACCATTTGAACTGCAAGCTTGGTGGTTCAAGCTCACCCGCTGCTCCTCAGAAACCCTACACAGTGTGGCTATATGGGTTGGAACTGACTCGACGGCACTTAACAACAACAACAACATTGTCACAGTGGTCAAAACAGCCTGGTATTAGTACAATGAGAGATACGTAGATCAATGGAACAAATTGAGCACCCAGAAGTAAATCTATCCACATATAGTCAACTTTGTGGATAGTAAATCTTTGACAAAGGACCCAAATATGTTAAATAGGGAAGAGATAATCTCTTCAACAAATAGTGCTGGCAAAACTAGAAATCAATTTACAAAAGAATTAAACAAGACCCATATCTCATGGCATACACAAAAACTAATTCAGCGTGGATTAAAGACCTAAACGTAAATTCTAGAACTATAAAGATCATCAAACAAACCAGACAAAGACAGACTAGGAAGAACGAGTGATGAACTACTTCCGAATTGCTAGTCACTGCAAACTCTATGAATAGCAGAGAAACACTGTCAGATACAGGACCGGAAGGTGGGAAGGCACTCAGAATACAACTGGGAATAAAAATGCCTCCTCAAAGAAGAGTTGACCATGATGACGTGAATAGAGTTAAGCTTGGGGGAGAAAAGCACACAGAACCTTCATTTGCTGACGGGCCACAACTCAAAATGAAGAGAAACAGCTGTAAACATCCATTGAAAATCGGGACATGGAATGTACAAAGTATGAATCTGGGAAAACTGGAAGTTGTCAAAAATGAAATGGAACGCATCAACATCGATATCTTAGGCATTAGTGAGCTGAAATGGACTGGTACTGGCCATTTTGAATCTGACAACCACATAGTTTACTATGCAGGGAATGACAAATTGAAAAGGAATGGTGTTGCATTCATCGTCAAAAAGAACATATCCAGGTCAGTCATGAGGTATAAGGCTTTAAGTGATAGGATAATATCCATGCGCCTACAGGGAAGCCCAGTTAATACCATTATAATTCAAATTTATGCACCAAACACTAAAGCCAGTGAAGATGAAACAGAAGAATTCTACAACTTCTTCAATCTGAAATTGATCAAACATGCAATCAAGATGTATTGCTCATTACTGGTGATTGGGATGCAAATGTAGGGAGTAAAGAGGAAGGACCAGCATTTGGAAAATTTGGACTTGTTGATAGAAATGATGCTGGAGAATGAATGATAGATTTTTGCAAGTCAAATGATAAGTTTATTTCAAATACCTTCTTTAGACAGCATAACAGACAACTATACACATGGACCTCACCAGATGGAACACATAGAAATAAAATTGACTACATCTATCGAAAGAGAAGATGGAAAAGCTCTGTATCATCAGTGTAAACAAGGC